TTCACTGTTATATTTAATAACATCTGTCAGCGTAAAGCATTTGTTTACCTTTGCCTATTTTGTGAAATATATATTCACTAGTTATATTTAATAACATCGGTCAGCGTAAAGCATTGTTATCTTTGCCTATTTTGTGAAATATATATTCACTGTTATATTTAATTACCGTAAATTTCGGACTATAAGGCGCACCTGAATATAAGCCGCAGCAGCTAAATGGAATGATGTGTACATATATAAGCCGCACTGGACTATAAGCCGCAGGTGTTTTAATGTTTAATTACCATATGTAAGGGTTCGTGCACAGAGGGGATTGTCGGGAAAGAGATGGCTGTTTGAGGAAGCTCCCATTTATTAACATTTCAACAAACAAGTTGCATATTTGCATAACGTATTCAAGTGTTACCATTTAGTGCAATAGTAGCTACAGAACATGTACTGTGCTGTGTAAACTGTACTGTATCACATAGCGTTTCAGACACACAAACTTTTCAACTTTCAAACTTAAACGGTGCGCTCCCAGCGCACGTACCGGCACGTACCGGCAGTGATCTACAGCAGTGGTTTTCAACCAGTGGTACGGGGACAAACTGTCTCGCTCTCGTAATGTCTGTCTGTCTTGCTCTCGTTCTGTCTCTCGTACCACTCTCGGTTCCACTTTTACTTTTGCGCGCTACCTGTCTCACTCTTTTCCGGCCTCCAGCTTTTCCTGCTGGAGCCCGCCGCTTAAAGGTGGGGGGCGCGGACCGGCCATAGAGCCCATAGAGTTAAAGGTGGTGGACTGTAACCTGTAAAATCCATAGATTTAGGAGGTCCCCTAGTGGCCGTTAGCTGTAAAAATCCATAGATTAGCCGCACCGTTATATAAGCCGCAGCGTCGAAAAATGGGAAAAAAGGCGCGGCTTATAGTCCGAAAATTACGGTACTGTAAATTCTTCCTATCACAATAACCACTTTCTTGAATAACTTCAGTCATGTTGGTCTACTTTGGTAGGAAGTACTCACAGATGCAGAACCAGGATCCCCTCCAAAGCCTGCCACTCACTTTGTTGACAAGAATATTACTCAGCTGAAAAAAAGTAAGAGACATAATTTAAAAGTCTAAATAAACCAACATTGTAACAATGCCTACTATCTTCACTTTTTTGTCCTTGTTGTTTGAACATTTAACCAAAAACATTTTTTAAATAATTGCAGCCAATATTGACCCATCCAGGCGGCACCTGTATCTCCAAGTGCTTGGTGGGAAGGCCTTTCTGGAGCACCTCCAGGAGCCAGAGCCTTTACCTGGTCAGGTGTGTTCTACGTTTACAGTCTACTTGCATTTCCGTAACCAGAGGTTCCGCTCGAAGCCAGTGCCCTGTGCCTGCGAGCCGGACCTGAGGGAGGGCTTCCTCTTAGAGATCCACAGAGAGGGCACAGGTACACAGGACCAATCAGGACCTTACCGGTTGTTATACAGTTGATTAATAAATGATCTATGCTGACTTTGTAATTTTGTAATAACTTCTGGCACTGCAGGTGAAGGCAGCACAATGGCGGACGGGACCACCATGTTGTCTTTGTGTGACCCGGTTCATTTGGTGCTGATCAAGACGGACACCTCCAGTGAGACAATGCTGGTCTCCTCCTACTTCCTGGACTGGAGGGTTGTCCTCTGCTCGCCCAATGGGAAGACCTGCTTTGCTGTGGAGCTGATGGGAGTCGGTATGGAAAAGGGATAAATACAAGAGCAACAGTGTGATACTGAAATGTCATGCTGTATATCACAATCCTAACATAACAAGCTGATCATCCCGACTACACTGAAAACTTTTGTGTTACATAGTATTACATTTTTTGGCGGGGTATTTCATGGTTGAACCTGTTTAGCTTTCCTGACCTCTCTGGCGCATAATAATAATGGAGCAGCTTCTGTTTTCCTTTAAAACAATTTTTTTTGGAGAACACCGAATAACGTTTAAGGCATTATGCAAAAGATCAGAAAAAGAATTATAAATAAATATTATACATTTAGGTCAGAAACTATATTTTCTTCTTTTCTTTCCCATTAATAATCTTATGCTCCCTAGAGGAGTACCAACCCTCAGCTTTGAAACAGATGTTGTACAATATAAATAGTTATACGTGTCTACTACCTGTAAATTAATTACATATGCTACAAATATACGGTTTAGAATCTGCAGTTTTGTCTCTTCCCTGCTCTTAGTGACTCGGCTAGAGCTTTATTAAACATCTCCGTGTCTATAGGAAGTGAATGTAAAGTCCCAGCTGGAGTTCTGACTGTGGGTCTGGAGCTGTACCCCCCTCTCACTGATACTCTGAGCGCTGACATCATCAGCACACAGGTCAGCACACTCAAGCCCTTCATCTCTCTGTCTGTTTATTCATTGGCTTCAGGATTATTCATGAATAAAACTACTGTGAACAACTAGTGAATCATTACAACAGATTTCAATCACTGCCGTTAGGAGTGTTCCTCAGAGTTTATCTGAAGGCATCATTGTGAGAGAAACATTAGAGCTGAGCTCTAAACATAGTCACTGAAGTGTGTGTTTCTCATTCAGCAATCACTGGAGAGGCAGAGGACAGCAGAGAAGGAGAGACTGTTCTTAGTTTATGCCAAACAGTGGTGGAGGGAATTCCTGCAGATACGCCCCTCACACCAATCCAAAATGGTCAAGATTTTTGCACAGGTTTGTTACATTGTCTTGTTTTGGAGGGGAAAATCTAACAATTACATGTTAGGTTTACTTACTTACAGACTTTTATTCCCAAACTGCATAGATTCTTTATTCATTTGATTTGAAATGTGAAGTAAAGGAAACTAGCAGCATATGAGTTGCATATCAGACAGTGGACAGGGAGATCCTGAATCAGCCACGACTCAAGTTCTTATCTCTCTGTCTCTTTCTTTCTTTTCTCCCCCCCCAGGATGAGAACGCCGTCAACAGACCAGTGTGTTCTTACGTGCATATCCTGCGGGCGGGGCGCCTGCTGGAAAGCCCCCGACAGGCGGCCCGCTTCGTCAGCCTGCTGGCCCACGAGAAGGCCCCGGTGGTGGGAGTGGGGGACAAGCAGGAGCAGTGGTGCACATTAATGGCTTTCCTGTGTAGAGGCAAGGTAAGGATAAGTGGCTACTGCCTTTAATCAGATGACAATCACTTCCTATACTACTAGATCTGTGATGACAGCTGATTTATAGCTTCTCACACCAAACCTTCTCTACAGTGTGTCCTTAGGTCTAAAATAGAAGAATTCCCATAGCAAACTACCTGGACTTCTATTTACTTTAATTAAACAACTTCAACATTAGACATGAATTGCACATAAGCACATGGAAGACGTCTTTTCCTTTTCAAGTATGTATACAGCTTTAAAGGTCCCATGTCATGCTTTTCTGGTTATTACCCGTCCCCCTGTGTGTTATGAAGGTTTTTCTGCATGTAAACGGTCTGCAGAGTCACAAACCCTCAAAGTACACCCTGTAGCGAGTAAAACTAACACAGAAAATACCTATCTATGCTGCCCCAGAACGCCTCGTTGGAGATTTATCTTTTTCCATTGCTTTCTTCTTTGGTTGTAGTGACGTAAGGGGCTAAGTAGGCCTGTCACGATAATTCATTTTGTTGGACGATACATTTTCCTGGAAATTATTGCGATAAACGATAATATTGTTGGCACTACGACCATTTTAGACCACTGACATAATGATAATATATAATAATTCAAGTACATCCTTTCAAACATAACTTTTTATTGAACATTCAACATTGCAAATGAAATGTGAAATAATATTAAAATATATAAATGATATATAATAAATAAAACAAATTTAATTAAATCAAACACAACCAAAACAATACATTAAATGGACTCAGGCTGGAAAACAGAGCTCTCTCTCTCTATCTATTGATCTCTATATATATATATATATATATATATGTAAATAAATAAGTAAATATGAGCACACATTGTCTCACAAGCAAAAAAAAACTCCTTAAAACAACAGTCAAGTGTACAGTCCACTGTCCATAACAAACGACCC